TCATATCAGGAAATGTTATTTCCATACTTTAGTCGTCTCCAAAACAACTTCAGCTGTTCACGACACACTACTAAACAAAAATGCTTCAATTTAGTCTTATGAAAACCTCTGATAGTATGTATCTTAGTCAAAAGTTTACTGCATTAATAGACTAATTTGGGGAGAGATTGTTTTATGGTACTGTGTTTACTTCAGGGAGGATTTACATGTTTGTGGGGTTTTTTGTTGTTTGTTTGTTTGTTTTCCCAAACAGTGTTTCTCTGTATAGCCCTGGCTGTCCTAGAACTTGCTTTCTAGACCAGAGTGGCCTTGAACTCAGAATTGCTCCTGCCTCTGCATCCCAAGTGTTGGGACTAAAGGTGTGCACTACCACAACTAATTCTTTGGTTTGTTTTGTTTTAGATGTATAGCTTAGGCTGGCCTCAAACTTCTGATCTTTCTGCCTCTACCTCCTTCAACAAATCCCACCAGCATGTGCCTCCACAACCAGCATTTGTTTTTTAAGCCTCAGCCAGCCTGGAACTCACTATGCAGACCAGAATGGCTTCCAACTCGGAGATCCACCCAACTCTGCCTCTGAAGTGCTGGGATTAAAAGCTAGGGGCCATCATCACACCTGGCTGATTTACATGGTTTTGTTTTATAGGTGTCTTGGAAAGTCCTTCCAATCTTGATTCTGACGCTGGCTAGAGGTGTTGGATTGTACAGCAGGGTCAGCTTGTATGAGCGCTGGCTTGTGGTTAACCCTTCTCCTTGAGGATAGTCTAGATTTAGAGTGGTTTATGCTGAAAGTGAGGTCTTTTGAGTTTCAGAATTTATTAAATAAATTAAAGAATCAAGTCTTCTGTCCCCTGTACTCATTTCTATCAAAACAAAAGCTCAGGGTCACCAGCACTTGGCAGATCTCACAGGGTAAAAGCTGAAGCCTGTTTACTTCTCAGTGTTCCTGCTTCTACTTCCTATGTGGCCCAAGAGTTCCTCTCTTTCCTATTCTTAAACTCTATTTTTTTTAAGACTTATTTATTATGTAAACAGTTATGTCTGCATGTCTCCCTGCAGGCCAGAAGAGGGCACCAGATCTCATTATAGATGGTTGTGAGTCACCGTGTGTTTAAGGTACATAAAAGTTTATGATTATCTTGAGTTTTCCCTTTACTACAAATACATTTTACCTTAATGCCTTTGCTCTTTCATCTTTCCAATACTGATAATGTTAGCATTCTCATTTATTTTCTTATGGATATTGTTCTGTAAAACTGTTTATAGATACATATAAGTATATAAATCATATAAATTATTCATTTTGTTATTCAAACTGCAGATTGTTCATTTGGATTGCTGTTGTTATTGTTCTGTGTTTTTGAGACAGTTTCACTGTATAGCCCTGGTTGTCCTGGAACTCATCATATAGACCAGGCAGTCCTAGATCTCATAGAGATCCTCCTGCGTCTACCTTCCAAGAGCTGGGATTAAAGGCGCACCACCAGGCCCAGCTCCAGGCTGTCTTTTTTTTTTTTTTTTTTTTTTTTTTTTTTTTTTTTTAAGATTTATTTATTATGTATAGAGTGTTCTGTCTGCATGTATCCCTGCAGGCCAGAAGAGGGCACCCGATCTCATTATAAATGGTTGTGAGCCACCATGTGGTTGCTGGGAATTGAACTCAGGACCTCTGGAAGAGTAGCTAGTGTTCTTAACCTCTGAGCCATCTCTTCAGCCCCCCAGGCTGTCTTTTAACTAATACTGACCTATGTATGTTTTCTGTGAATGATCTATATTTTGAACTTTTATTTCTTATCCTTCCTTTGCTTTAAATTAAAAAAAGTTTAAGCTTTCCTATTGACTGAACTGGTCACGTTTCCTCCCTTTCTGGTGGTCTGAAAGCTATAAATCGTATTTATAAGATTTTAGTTATTTCTTTAAGTGTATTTTTAATGCACACATTAATTATGCACTAATCTAAAAATGTCTGAAATTGCTTAATATTTGTCTTCTTCCTAAACATGATATGGGTCTTATTATATTGTACCATCCCACACTACAAAACTTTCCCACATTAACCTGTTGTTGCCACTGTATAAAGCCACATCATCAAATGTAGTATCTATAAGCCCATTGGCTTTCAAACACTGGCTATATAAACAGTGTGAACTGAGATATGTTCTAAGTATAAAATAACTGAGATATGTTCTAAGTATAAAATAGACACTGAATTTTAAAGACAACATTAGAAACAAGAAGTAAAATATCTTAAGAATTTTGTACTGATTATATCTTGAAATTATTGTATTTGGGAAATATTAGGCTAAATATGTTAAAATTAATATTGCTTCTCTTTTTAGTAATATACTCACTAATAAAAATTATACATGTGACTAGCATTACGTTTCTACTGGACAGTGCTTATCTACAGGTCTTAACTGTTTTGTTCTTTTGTTGTTTTGCAATACAATGCTGAGAATCAAACCCATGCTAGGTGCTAGGTGAGCACTGACACTGGGCTGTATCTCTAGCACTGCTTATCTGTTTGTAAATGAGGTTTTCTGTGCTCAGAACTCTGGGCTGCAAGTGATCTTTCTATTTCAGTTTCATAAATAGAAAAGACTACAGGTACCTGCCACTGTACCTAGCTTACTGCTTTAATTTTAGTTTTGTTTTAAACATATCAAATGCAAAAGTAAAGAAAAACTCTCAGAATTATATTTCCTGCACTATTAGTAGTTACAGTGAACATTTCACCTAATTAAAATTCTTCAGTCTAGATTATATTAAACTGATATAATGTGGTACATGGCCTTGCCTTACCAAATAAACTCCATTTTCTTCTCATATCAGCTGAGAAGAAACCCTTTGTCAGTTTACTTATCATACTTCCACATGTAATTGGCCAATTGGTGCTAGCGATTGAACTGAGGGCCTCACACACGCTAAGCACACACTTCACTTCTGAGCTACATTCCCAGTCCCAAACTGGAACTATGACCCTTCAAGTGTCAAGCCTTTTTATGTTGCTGGGATCCAACTCAGGACCTTGCACATGCTAAGCAAATACCCTATCAATGAGCACTAGCTACACCCTCCCCTTCAAAATACAATTATATATCAACGTTTTTAATTTCCATGTGTTCTAGTCAGTTCTTTACTATATAAACCCACTTCTTTCATCTCTTTTATACTCTTCATTCTCTTTAATGATGAGTTTTCTTTACTTCTTTAAGCATCCTAAAAATGTTTTAAAGTTTCTCCCAATCAATGGAATACTATGCAGCTGTTAAAAAGATCATCCCATGGATACTAATATGAAATGATCTCTAAATATGTTCCATTAAAAAGGCCAGGCATATAATAGTATGTGTAGAATGTTACCATTTATATAAAAGTATATGTGGGGTATGTGTATGAATGTATGCATGTATGTATGTATGTATTTATATGCTTGCACATGCATAAACTATCTCAGAAAAGAAAGCAAATTAGTAATAGTGGTTGCCTCTGGGGAGCGAAACTGGGTGGCTAGGCGACAGAGGTGGAAATAGACTTACTTTTCACTGTTTACCCTTTTGTACCTTTGAATTTTGTACCACGTGCATGTATTACCTAGTCAAAAAAAAAATAAAATTTATTTTTAAAAATAAATTCTTTGTTGGACTACTTACTCCATAAAGTTAATGTCATCCAGAGAAATCCCTGTTCTGATGGTTTGAATTTGTTGTATTAATATTAGATGTCTTCATGAATGTTGAAATTTTAGTTATAGGCTTGAGTGGAAGAAGTTAACTTTTTTTTCTCCCTTCCTATTTAAGGGTTTTAGAATTGCCTCTAATTGGCCACCTGGGCCCCTCGTCTATCACCAGGGTTTATAATTATATTTCAGGGCTCCAGTTTCATGATAATATTGGAAATAACACACACACACACACACACACATTCAGTCACTAACCTAGCAAGTATCTTGACTCAATTTCTGTCGTGAGGCTGTATCTTTATCAGCTAAAACCTACAGGCCCACGAGCAAAACAGCTGTGTCTTTTTCTCCTCTTTTCACAACTGAGACAGACATTTCAGCTAATGGCTTCATGTGGTGATTGTGGCTCTGGGTCCTACTTCACAGGAAACTCCTCAGTGCTTTTAGTCTTAACTGATAGGATCATAACTACCAGCTATCAGTGCTGCAGTAAAAGCCCAGGACCCCATAGCTTCAGCCCTCTGCAAATCTCAGGTCTGTCCTCTCTGGTCAGAGATGCTGACATTTGTTCTGGCACCTAACTGCAACTCTGTACTACCGATCCTCTGGTTCTGCATGTATGCATCAGTGGAGTTACATGCAAACACAGTATGCTACCCAAACTACAAGTAATTCTCACTTTCTGTTTTAAATAACATTGAAAGTAATAATAATGAAACACAATTTCATTTCATATAGCTTAGAAAATAGAAAATTAATGGTAAATTACCCAATTTAAACTACTGCTAGAAGTTAAAAGCAATCTTTTAATCTTCTGTCATTTCATACTTGCATAATTTGTATGACTTTAACTTACATAATTCCAAACACTTGTCTATGGTGTTATATATATAATCTTTATAATCATCATTTTAAGGACTGAATATTAACCCACCAAACTGTTCACCTATAATTTACTTCCCAAATCATTGAATAGGGAAGGAGTTAGTATCCAAGGATGTTACAAATATGTTTTCTCTGCCTGTGTTTTTTTTCTCTTAATACTCTGGATATGGGTGTGGTATGACTATGATGTTAAACCAATGCAGTAGTATAGTACATGGCTAAGGTTCATAATGATGACCTTGACACACAAAGAGGAAAGAAAAAAGTTGCATGCAAGTAAACAATATATTGCAGAAAGTTTCAAAAAATGATTAATAGTAAAATTTTTAATTATAAGGTAAGCTTTGCAACTGGGTAATGCATGACATTTTCACTAATTTGCAAACCAGATTCTGAGTCACACTGAAAGCTCACTATTTGCCAACACACTCACCTGATATTATTCACACAGTCTTCGTGCGCTTCAGAAAGGGTTTTTATGTGCTTTGAAGAAATAGGGTCAAAAAGCAGAACTTCAGTCTGTTCACAAGCAACTGTCAGCACTGACCTGAAAGGAAAGAACACAGTTGTCTTTTTTACTTTTCTAATACTCTGTGGTTCACATACTTATAAATATACATATTTAGATAAATTCTTCTCTGAGAATTTAGTGAAGTAATTAACAAATACAGAGAAACACATAAAGATAATCTTCACCGATGGGGGAAATACTTCTGTGTATGTTTATAAATAAAGTACTTGCTTGGCCAATGAGACAGCAGGTTAGGCTGGACTAGGAGTCAAAGAGGATTCTGGGAAATGTAGTAGAGAAGTGGTGTTCCAGACAGGAAGTGACATAACAAGGAGACTCATATTTAAGAAGAGGAAAAAGTGTCGCTCTCTTTCCCCTCGGCTCCTGCTCCAGCAACACGACGTGATCCACCAGCTAGGAGGGATGCCAATAAGGTGTCCGATAAGATAAGTCTTATAAAATATATAGATGTATGATAATTGAGACTGAGCTAACAGATGAGAATCCTAGTCATTGGCCAAGCAGCACTGTAACTAATACAAGTCTCTCTGTGTATTCATTTGGGCCTAACTCGGGCAGGCGGCTGTGTAAAGCTCACACGTGGTGGTGGGGCTCAGGCGGCTTTTGGCAGAAAGATTTATCATAACACTTCACTGTAAAAAGGAGAAATTGAAAGCAACCTAAATATACATGAGAATGAATATTTTATAAACCATGGAACATCATAACTGTCCTCCTATTCGTGAGGGAAACATCTCAATCCCCAAGCAGGTATCTGAAACTCCAAGTAGTAAGGAATCCTACACATACATCTCCCTCCTATACCTACTAATGAGAAAGTTTATTTACAAATTAGACTCAGTAAAGATTAACAAGTATAATCAAGCATAACAGTTATAACTATACTGTGGTACAAGTTATACAAGTATGCTTGCTTTCAAAGCATATTATCCCGCTGATATTAGTCTTGTATGGTTTTTTGTTTTGTTTTTTTCTCATTGTCAAGTGGAGAATTTCCAATCTTTTCAACTGCAGGATGAACTCTATGGTTGCTCTCTGGCATAGTCCAACTGTCAGTACCACTACTTTTGTGCTTTGTAGGTCTGACTACCCAGAATAACAGTTGCTTACACACAAGCACCATGAACCTGAGTTGATTTGGTAATGGAGAGCTACTAGGTGACTAGCAATGTGTTCTTGCACAGTATGGCTACAGTAAAAGGGGATGACTTATGTCCCAGGTGGGACAGAGTAGAATGATAATAGATTTCATCAAACTATGAAGAATGGCATGAAATGTAAAACACATGAGTTATTTCTGGAATTTTTCATATGCCCTTTGTGTACTATAACTGATTAGAGGTAACTGCAAAGTGAAGTCATGAATAATGGGAAATTACTTTTCAGCTGTTAACAAAAGGGCAGTGTGGTGGTTTGAATTAAGAATAGCTGTGATGGATAGTGGTGGTACACACCTTTAATCCCAGCACTTGGAAGGCAAGGGCAGGCAGATCTCTGTGAATTCAAGGCCCCAGCCTGTTCTAGAGTGAGTTCCAGGAGAAACCCTGTCTCGAAAAAACAAAATAAAAAAGAAGGGAAAGAAGGAAGGAAGGACTAATGAAAGAAAAAGAGAAAGGAAGAAAGGAAGAGAGAAAGAAAGAAAGGAATAAAGGAAGGAAGGAAGAAAGGAAAGAAAGAATATCCTGCCCCCTCCCCAGGCCCCTAGGTTCATAGGGAGTTAGCACACTTAGGAGGTGTGGCCTTGTTGGAGTAAGTGTGACCTTGTTAGAGTATGTATGTCACTTGGGGTGGGTTTTGAGTCCAGTGACTGTCTTCCTGCTGCCTGTGAATCCAGATGTAGACCTCTCAGCTCCTTCTCCCTCCCATGATGATAATGGACTAAACCTCTGAAACTGAAGCAAGCCCAAATTAAATACTTTCTTTTATAAGAGTTGTCATCAGAGATCTCTGTTCTCTGTATCCTGTCCAGCTCATGCAGTCATAGCCTCCAGGAATACATCACATATTAGGAAGACGGGCCCTGATGGCACAGACCTATGGTGGTGGACTGCACCTTCAATGAAGTCAAGCTTTTGAACTACAGAGGGAAAGAAGTACAGAGTACTCTTTTTCTACCCGCTGGACTTCACTTTCATGTGACCCATGGAGATCATCACTTTTAGGAACTATGTTGAGGACTTCCACAAGCTGGGCTACAAGGTTCTCGGAGTGTCTGTGGAATGTCAGTTCATGAAAGGCTGGCTGTGCATAAAAGATAAGACAAAACTAAAAAGCCATAAAAGAGTTGTATGTCTGATTTTATCTAATTAGCCTGGTAGTGTATAAGTCACTCCCCTTTCAGCACATTTTATAGAAATTGATGAAGAAATGCATGATTTGGTTTTAATCTCCTCCCCTACCCTAAGTTTTCTCATACACATTTGTTTACAACTAACTTTTTTCATTTAAATACATTTTGGAAGCTGAGCATGGTAGTGCATGCTTGTAATTCCAGCACTCAGGAAGTTGAAGCAGGTGGATTACCCCAAGTTCAAGTTCAGCCTGGAATACATAGTGAGTTCAGGGACAGTCTCAGCCAAATAGTAAACATCTATCGTAAATCAAAACAAACAAACAAACAAAAAAACCCTCACACATATATAAATAAAAGTTGGTGGGGGGGCCTGGAGAGACAGCTCAATGGTTAAGAGCAATGGCAGCTTTTCTAGAGGTCCTGAGTTCAATTCCAAGCAACCACATAATGGCTCATAGCCATCAATAATGGGATCTGATGTCCTCTTCTGGCATGCAGGTGTACCTTCAGATAGAGTACCATATACATAAAATAAATTTTTTTAAAAAGTTCATTTCCATATTAAGTGCCAGATTCTCATTACAAATGGCTGTGAGCCACTATGTGGTTGCTGAGAACTGAACTCAGGACCTCTGGCAGAGCAGTCAGTGCTCTTAACCTCTGAACCATCTCTCTAGCCTGATGTTTATAATTTAAATCTAATACTTGTTTAATTTTTATTTAAATACCCATTTAAGCTTCTAGGTTGAGCTGAGTTCTCACCATTATATTGTAACTTAGTCACTTTGGTAATTTTTTTCCTTCAAATCTATCTTATTCTCCTTTTTTTTTTTTTGTTTTTCGAGACAGGGTTTGTCTGTGAGCTTTGGAGCCTATCCTGGCACTTGCTCTGGAGACGAGGCTGGCCTTGAACTCACAGAGATCTGCCTGCCTCTGCCTCCCAAGTGCTGGGATTAAAGGCGTGCGCCACCAACGCCCGGTTTTTATTCTTTTAATATAGTTTACCAGTAGTTTTAGAATTTATATATGTATTTATATTTGTATTTCTATACCCTTTTAATTATTTCTCCCTGTAATCTGACACTCTTTTCCCATCCCTTTGAAATAGGGTCTTGGTATATTGTCTAAGCCTGTTTCAAACCAATGGGCCCAATTAGTCCTCCTGCCCTCAGACTCCTGGTAGCTGGAACAATTTTTTTGCTTTTTCATTAGAACATTTATATTTATTATACTTTAATAAATATACTTTAACATTTGGATTTATTTTCAGCTATTCTTTGTGCTTTTTATCTATTATACTTCATCCATGTGAGAGGGTACTGGGATTAAACCCACATGCTATGCAAGTGGTTTTTGTTTTGTGTTTTGTGTTTTTGTTTTGGTAAAGCAAGTGCTTTGTACTACTGAACAATATCAACAGCTTTTTTTCTTCTGTCCTTTTTTTTACCTTTTCATGTCTGTTCATATGTGGATAAGCTTGCATGTGTGTGTGTATGTGTAGACCACAGGCTGCCATTAAGTACCTTCCTCTATTGCTCTCTATCTTATTTTGTGTTTTGCCTGTATGTATGTATGTGTGCTACATATGTACATGATGGATCCCCTGGAACTGGAGTTACAGACAGTTGTGAGCTGCCTTGTGGGGTGCTGGGACTCAGGTCCCCTGCAAGACCAGCAGGTGCACTTAACTACTGAGCCATCTCTCTGCCTCTCCATTTTTTTGAGGCAGAGTTTCTCTCTGAACATGGAGTTCAATGTTTGCACTACAATGGATGGCCAGTGAGCTCAGGGATCAGCCTCTCTCTTTCTACAAGGTGCTGGGTTAGAGCTGGGAGACACCACATCTAGCCTCTATGTGGGTGCTAGGGGTGCAAAAATTAGGTCCTCAGTTTACCCACTGAGCCACATCTTCTCACCTCTTTTTGTAATCTTTTCCCTTGTTACATGCCTTTTTTTCTACTAGTTTGGAAGGAAATTGTCTATTCTTTGCTTTCTTCAAATTGTAATACTTATTAAAGTTATTATTGTGTGTGTGTGATTTATGGGTGCATGTGTAGGGCAGAAGACAACTTTTTCTCTCCTTTTACCTGCCAGGGATCAGAACTCAGATCACCAGGCTTGCATAGCAAGTACCCTGACTTGCTGTCCACTTCATGGGCTGAGTACCAGAATAATTACTTTTTGAAAATGCTTGGGGGGGGGGGGTGCTGGAGGGATGGCTCAGCGGTTAAGAGCACTGACTGTTCTTCCAGAGGTCCTGAGTTCAATTCCCAGCAACCACATGGTGGCCCACAACCACTTTGAATGAGATCTGGTGCCCTCTGCTGGCATGCAGGCAGAAGACATAATAAATAAATAAAATCTTAAAAAAAAAAAAAAAAAAGCTCTGGGGCTGGAGAGATGACTGCATGGGTAGAGATCCACCAAGGCTGAGATCCGAGTTCCATCCCTGGGACCCACATGGTGGAAGAAAAGAATGACTCCTACAGGCTGTCCTCTGACCTCCATACAAGTGCCTTCACATGTAAGTCATGGAATGCACAGAAACCTGTATGAATATGTGATTCCTTTAGTGCTAGCACTTGGAAGGCAGAGGGAAGTGGATCTCTTTGACTTCAAGACCTGCCTGGTTTACAAAGTGAGTATTCAGACAACCAGTGCTACTATGAGAGACTAGAGATCTAGATAGATAGATAGATAGATAGATAGATAGATAGATGAACAGAAAAATAAATAAATTTCCCTGCGAGAATGAAGTCTTATTCAAATAAGAACTATACGTAATATAGACCTCATTCTAACAGTCCTGGCAATTTGAATTAAATTTTTCATAATTCTAGAATCACCATTTCCTATTTAAAAATTCTACCTCCAGAGAATTGGCACAACTACTACATCCCCCCCCCCCAACAGGGTTTCTCTGTGTAGCCCTGACTGTCCTTAGACTCAGAGATCCACCTGCCTCTGCCTCCTGAGTGCTGGGATTACAGGTGTGCACCACCACACCTAGTAACACAGTACTTCTTAAATCTTGAAAGTATAGGGTTTGGTAAAAGAGGGGTTGAGCTACAGAAAAGAGAAGCACAGACAGTATTTGGGGGAGAGGAAGACGCTTTAAGAATAGTATATAAAAGAAGAAGTTTCCATGAATAAGCTTCAGCTAAATAAAGTTTGCTTTTGAATTCAGGTATGCACCCACTGATAATAATCCAGCCAACTACCATAACTAGAGATTCTAGTACCAGGTATAATTAGAAAGAAGCACTGAGGTCAATGAGCCACAACAGGTTTTACTTGCTCAGTAACTGTGTTCCAATGCTTCTTTCTCAGCATATTCTAGGTCTTTCTCGCTATAAATTTTTTTTTGTTTCATTATTTCCATTTCTTTTTTTTTTTAATGGTCCAAGGGTGGGAATTGCATTAGGGGCTCTTTTTTTTTTAAGATTTATTATGTATACAGTGTTCTGGCATGTTTACACCAAATCTCATTATAGATGGTTGTGAGCCACCATGTGGCTGCTGGGAATTGAACCCAGGTCCTCTGGAAGAGTAGCCAGTGCTCTTAACCCCTGAACCATCTCTCCAGCCCTATTTCCATTTCCTTTAACATTATATGCTAATATTGCCCTTCAGCATGAGTTCACATTCTTACGAAATACATCTATTCTTTACCCAGCAGTCTTGATTCGTTTATCTCCTGCAATGTTTTTTCTAATCTTGATCTAGGTGTCACTTTTTCAGGGTAACCGAGCTCTGCGGGCTTTACGCCTTTATCTCAGTTTGCTGGTGTACACTGTGCATTACTTGGAATCTCATATCCAATTGAACTAATAGAGCCAGGCTCGGTAAAAGGAATGTCATTAAATAGTTTTACGAACCACTGCTATCCATGCATTTGCAACCTATTAAGTGTTCCAGGAGCATCTGGTTAATGGGGGAATGAATGAATGAATGAATGAATGAATGAATGAATGAATGAATTAACGAAGCAAAGACTAGCAACCCTGAGGCCCGATGTGATAAGGATGCTATTATGTCATTTGAGGTAAAACCATGAGCAGTGTTTTTCCTCTGCTTGTTGAACTTGTGCACTCACGAGATAAAGTATTAGACACCGGTTAGTTTTGAAATTTTCCTATAGCTTGAAGTAAACCAAGAGTAAACAAATGTCAGTCAAAAACAAAACAAAGCAAAACAAAAGCTGCATTCCTTAACCCAAGCATTAGCCTATCCCACAAATGGCCCAAATACTGAGAAACGTATTTCTGCAGTGTCTTAGTATCTTTCTAGAGCTTCCGAATGTCTTCTCAAGGCAGGATCTGGCACAAAGTCCAAAGATGCTGCGAGCTTCCTCTTTGAACATTTTAACACAAGCTCAGCTCAGAGAAGGGCCAACCGAGGAAAACAGCGAAACGGTGGGCATTATTTAAAGGACATTTAGTGAGCACCTACTGCGTACCAGAAAGTCCTACTTGTGGACCGGCTCTGGCAGACGTGCAGCGATGGCTTAAGGCATTTCTCTTTCACCGAGCCTCCAGGACCCCGAAGGGAAGCACTGGGCCTGCCTACCTCAGAAGGCCAGCACGGAGCTCATAGGCGACAGACAAAGTGCTTCTGA